TAGCCCCTAATTTGTCTCAGGCAGGCGGTGCCTAAGAAAGGCAATTATGGGCTGAATGGTGGATTTGGCAAATTGCTAGGTATAACCGCCGCAGAGTTAATGCGATTTAGAAAGGAGGCACGGAACACTGGCTCACCTGGACGGGCCTAGCCCATCTCCTTACCTTTCCCTTCCTCCGTATCAAGGTTGGATGCGAGGGTTATTGTTTGAATGGAAAGTAAAGTGGGCAGCGCCATCAAGGAGTTGCTTTAAAGAGGGAGCTCGCCCACAGAAGGCCCCGGTGCATCAGCGGGGTTTTGCAAACCTGCAAGTGGCAAGAAGGGCCCCCGTTTTCTCCTCGTTTTCCTCTTGGGCCCCGTGGTGCTGGGGATGGTTGAAAAGGCAGAGGCAGCACGGCACGGTCTTCGCAGCTACAAATACATTTTTGAGGCTGGACGTTTTGAAGCCCGATGTGCTCACGCCACGGTTCTAGTAAAGAAAACCTCCCTCGGCTATTTCGCGAGGAATTGTACCGTATCAGCAGATTCCTCCCACCAGCCCCTCTGATGCCGGATTACCGTTTGGAAAAAAAGCCTTTTGGATTCCCACGGGAGCCAAAACGAGCTGAGCTGGCTAGAAACCGATGCAAAACTTCTGAAACACACCAGTGCTTCCTTTCTGAAGTCTGTACGTGTGCCTTCCTATATATAAAGGAAAAATTCTTTCCCATCGCTATGCAAGGATCTTGGGAAATGGAAATGTGCCGTTTTTGTACTACCCGTGCAACCAAAGATGTAGCAGCTTATTCACACAGGCTAAGATTGCTCTGTTGTTGTTTTTTCCGGGCTCAGCATGTTGCACAGAGTTGATTCATGCATCCTTCACCATATTGTGCCCGTTCAAAAAACTTCACATGAAGCTGGAGATCGTGACTTGCAAACCTCTGCTTTGGCCATTATGCACCCTTGGCCAAACTCGGTTAATTCAATAAACCGCTGCTAAAAAGGCTGGGCCATGGCACCATGGGCGAGCCCAGCCTGCGTGGCACGGAGCACAGCGTCTGTCAGGCGGATGACCCTTTAGGGGCGAGGGGCACGTTTGCAACACGAGGAGCGTGGGATGGGTCCCCTCGCCAACCGGTCGCCTGCTCCCTGAGCTGTTGCTATGGGGGTCCCAGGCGCTCACCGAAGAGCCTCCCAGAATCTCCGCCGTTCTACGCAGACCTCTGCAGGATGCAAAAGGGTTGTGGCAAGTCAAAGGGACGGGTGACGATGGTACTTAGCAGCAGACATCTTTCTCTCTGCTTTTTAAAGAAATTTTAAAAGACAGGTGAGATGGGGCACCAGTGGGCATGAAGGTCAGGGGCACTGATGCCCAATCGCTCTCTATTGCAGTGTTTCTCAACCTCGGCCGCTTTAAGACGTGTGGATTTCAACCCCCAGAATCCCCCAGCTAGCCGTGCTGGCGGGGGAATTCT